TCCTGTAAGCCAGACCCTCTCCTCTGCCCCCACGTAAAGTCCCTATCTTAGCTATGCCATCTGTCACTGCATCCCAAAGTGCTCCATTTTTTCCTGCCTCAAGCCCTCACTCACACTATTATGCCATCTATCTAGGTGACTTCTTCCCTCTCTTCACCTAGAACAATCCAGGTGCAGTCCAGAGGTGTCACCTGACCACATGGTCTGCTCCGCCTACCTCCTAGTCCTAATCTCCTGCTGCCCCTTCTGAGGCACTCACTTGGTACGCCCTCTGGACAGCCACCTAGGATTAATGTCACTTTGCAGAGGTATGGATCTTAACTTCTTCCTGGAGAAGATCTCAAGCCTCAGTTTCCCCATCTGCAAAATGAGGGGATTAAACCAGATGATTCTATGCAGGGTATTTCTGAGTCCACATTGCGCCTGTGGTGTAGATAACTCTGAGAAGGGGAGCAAGGAACGTTTGTTGAATGACTCATCATTATTTCTATGCCTTTCTCTTCTGGTTTCTCACTTTTTTCCTTATGCCGACCTCTATTTGTTGTATTGAATGGGTGGAGTGGTGCTGGCCTTCACTTACTAGAGGCAGCTCTGAATCACCAGAGGTCATACTCGGGGAGCCTGCAAGAAGCTCAGAAGCCTTTGCAGGAGGAGCAGCCATGCAGAGCCGGAACGCCACGCACTGTGCCCCTCTCCAGGGGCAATGGAGCCACACAAGGCCCGGAGAGCCAGTGCATCTCCAGTTTCATGGGGAAACAGTGTGGACAGTTGATAGCATGCTTGGCCTCCAAGAGACAAACTGAGGCAAAGGCAAGGGGTTGACAGGGAGGCCCCTGCTTCTGGCTCTGCAGTAAATTAAACCTCAAACTGGCTCTGGCAGCAGCAGGGACAGAGCCTTGGGGGTGTCTGAATGGCAAAGGGGTGGATACTTAGTTAAGCTCTAACACATGAGCCCAGGAGACACCCTGGTCTATAAGAACAGAGAAGGGCGATGCCTTGTGGGAGCTCCCTGCAAAAGAAAAGCTGAGATGCGGATAAGATACGGAAGGGAAAGAAGGAAGGGCCAGGTGGGACAGCAGATGACCTAATAGGTCCTGTCCATTCCTATTATTTCAGATCTGTGGGCTGTGTAGGAGTTGGGAAGTCAAACATCAAGATGCCTGGGGCAGTCGTGGTGAAAGGGCAGAGGTGGGGGATGTCAGATGTGGCTGTAGGAAGCTTTCTAAGTGACCCTCCTTTTAAATAAACCCACTATAGGAAAGCCTGTCTGTTTGAACCAGCTAGAACAGGGGGCAACGTTCCGCTCATAGGTCTCCAGTTTCAGGTTGGCTATTAATTAATTCCCTGCATGATGCCTTCCACCTCTGAGCCGCGCTTTCAGCCATCAGCTGAGGGGTTAACCTCTGGACTCCAGCACCATTCGCTTCTTTGCACTTTATAATCTTTGATTCTTGAAACAGCCACTGCTTCCCTCGACCAACTTTCCCACTCTGAAGACAATCCATTAAGTGTGATGCCTATGGAGATTCTTGAAACCCACCTACTCCTGAAAGTGAGGCCCAACTATGCCCTGTTGGCTGGCCATGGTACCAACATCATTCACAGCCTTGACTTTCCTCAACCAAAGATATCATGCCTAGGGTCTCCTTCATGGCCTTGAAGTAGACTCCCTGGCCACAGGGTGACAGGTGTAGGGTTGGGGGATTTGGTTTGTCCAGGACCCCAGACATTCATTTTTAAATGAATGATGCAAATTGGTCCTGGGCCACTGGCCCCAGGAAAACACAATCTTTGACACGAGTATCAGCTGGCTTGAGATGGGCCGCCGCTACTTCCAAAGGCGTAATGCTGTCAGATGCATCAAGCCCAGTACGCTGGGAAGAGCAGGTGGATGTTCAGGGATGATGGATTCTGACACTGAGCAGGCCACTTGAGAAGAGCCCAGGAAACAGTGCAGCCACGTGAATGTGGCTGGAACACGAAACAGAGGGGAGAGGGAGATGATAGTAAGAAGTTGGGAAGAAACCTGCTGCAATGGGAGAATGGGAGAATAAAGCCCACAGCAAGAGCCACAGCTGCCACTTCCTGAACACTGCCTCTTGGAGTGTTTCAAGCCGCCCTGTGGGGTGATATTACCGTCGCTGTTGTTTCACAAGTGAGGAAACTGAGGCAGAAATGGTTAAACAGCCTGTCCACCTCACACAACTGCTAAATGGTTAGAGTCAGGATTTAAAGCCGGTCCAATCTGATTCTAAAACCCACGATCCTAATCTTTACGTGGCACAGTTTCCCTAAAGTAGGGATCACGGAGCTGCCAGCCTGCCCCACCCAGGGATCCAGTTTCCTTCCTCCCTTCCTTTCCCTGATACTGTCCCTGATGTCCAGTCCCTGCCCCACCCTGCAACAGCAACAGGTGGCAAGTGCTTAACCCACCACCCACCAGCCTCCTTACTTTGAGGAACAGAGCTGGGCTGGAACCTTTCTTATGAACTAGCTGGGTGGTGTTTAAAACCCATCGTGGGGAGCACTCTGACTTAAGATGAAAGGCCTTTGGCATGGAAAGATCCAGAAGCCCTCTCTTCTATCAAATCCTAAGCATGCCTCAAACACACTGAGATGTAAAAGCTGAACTGAGGGCCACTTGCTAAGAAAATACCTGGTGCCTAAAAGAAGGGCATTAAAAAGATGCCCAAAGCTCTATCGTGTGGAATAAAGATATCAGTTTCCTTTATTCCTTTGATTCATCTGGCTTAATATTTTGGATGTATTGACTAAGCTAGGCTTCATGGGTCATTGGGAGAGGAAATTTACATCTGTTAATGATGCCATCCACGACAGCCAATCTCAGCTCTCTCGGTTCTGCCAGGGAAGCCCTGAAGAGCTGAAGGAAAGAACAGAGGAGCTGGTTTTTCAAAGTACGGACTACAGAACTATTCCAAAATCTGGACCCTTGTCTGATACCTGCTCTCCTGGACACTGAAACACCGCAACCTGGACTAAGAGATTCACAGGAAGTCGTAGCTGGTGACTCTGATTTCATTTGGAAGATCCTGGGCTACCTGATCTTAAACTAGAAATCTCATTAAAATAGAAATTAGGCTCTATGACAACTAGGAATTTTGTTTGTTCCCTGCTGAATCCATATTGCCTAGAATAAAATATAATAGGTTCTCACTGAATATTTATTGACCAAATGAATGAATAAATGAACAACTATTCCAGTACTTGTTCCCCCACACCCTCTTCTGGAGGAATCTGTGCCCAGGGATCTGCTGGCCTCAGTGGCCCTGTTCTGTACTGCATGAAGCTCCCTTGGTCATAGCCACTGGGCCAGGAGCAGACACTTTCCCCAAGGGTAGCTATCTGGACAACACCTGCAACTTGTGAGCCTGGCTATACAGCAAAATGAGCTGGTTCAATTGGATCCAGACATCAAGATCCAGACTAAGAGGCGCTGAGGAAAGCTACCAATGGCATGCACTCTGAAGAGAGACTAAACGTCACATGAGGGCAGGAACCGTGTCTATCTTGTTTTCCCAATGTGTGATCCCCTGATCATACCTGAAATAGAGCAAATGCTCAATAAAAGCTCCTGAATGAATAAGCAAAGAGTAAATCAGGCTTGGGTCAGGTGCGTGATGAAGAAACCAGGGAAACCAAACTAGCAGAGAGGGAAGAGCATGTCTCTGATATCAAAAGAGCATTAAGGAGGCTCTGAGGGAAACAAAGGCTGATGGGTCTCTGGAGTCACTCTGCCTACCTCCATTCTCATCCTTTCTGGATCCTTATAATCCCCTACCTGTTGTGCTTGGGCCAGTGTGAACGTATTTATTTTCTCACAACCCTAACAGTCGAGGCTGAAGCCTTGCTGGATGCTCAGATGGAAGACCAGCTGTCTGCCATACATACTTCTGCGAGTTGTTCTTTTGTTTCTTTACTTTTGCCTCTGAGTGTTGTTAAAGGTTGAAATGGGTTAAAAAGAGAGGATCTGGGGATTCGTCAAAGACTTAGGGAATAGATGCTATCATCCATCTGGGCTGAAGGCCTCTTCTCCTTCCTTCTGAATGAGAGTTGCTCATCTCCAACTCAGCTACAAACCACTGGCTCGCCAATTTGGGCCTAATCCTGCAAAGACACCAAGGTAAAACCTGCAACATGCCAGAGGACCGCAGAAACGTATAGCAGACAGTGTGCCGGGCACGCAGAGTCCAGGACCAGCTCAACTGCTGACTAGCTCTGTGGTCTGGCAAAGTACGCATGTCTTTGACCTCAGTTTCTTTTCTAAAGTGGAGGTAATAACATTTCACTCTTAGGCTATTGTGAGAATTAAAAGTGGCGCCCAGTGCATAGTAGGGGCTTCATATGTGTGACTTGTGGTTGTGACCTACCACATATGTCTGTGAAACACTACAGCTCATAGGTTGCCTATATTTGGAGTAATTTAAATCTCACAACAACCTGCAAGATTTTCAAAGTAGAACCTAGCATTCTCATTTTACTGATGAAGAAACTGAGGTTCAGATAGGATAATGACTTGTTTGAGGTGACCCAGACAGTGAGTGACCAAACTTCATCCCAAGTCCCAGTTTACTCCCACAGCATGGCTCTCTGCATGAGAAGGCAACACAAGCAATCAGATGTGCAATGGCTACACTATCTTGGGCTGCCCGTGTGTCTTATCACACACAAGATTTCATTCAGGGATGTGTATACACACTGTCCAGGAGATGAATGAACCAATATATAAGAGGATGAATGAGGAGGTGGATGAAGGAATGAATAAGTATCCTGTCTTTACTCTGCATGTGATTCACAACAAAACCTGGGAATCTGATCCAGGCTGAGAGCTTCATTGGACTCCCTGGTTCCTGTTTCCCTCCTTCCCCTGGAAATGTCTATATCAGATATGTCAGAGGCCTGGTGATGGGTATAGCTCACACCACCAGCTTGTCCGTCCTCTGCCAGAAAGGGAAGAAGGTAGCCCTGCCCATTCTACGTACTGGTTTCTGCAGTCTCGTACTCGCTGTCTCTGAGAAGCTCAAAGATGTCCACTTCGACCTTGGCCTTGCCCAGCCTCTCAGGGTTGCGGTTGATGCGGTTCTTGGCCAGGGTGATGGAGAGCCGCTCTCCTCTGCTGCACTCCATGGGGTCGTCCAAGATAGCAGCTGTGGGCAGGCAACCACATGGACACAGTTGGTAGTCCACCTGCTACTGTTACCCCTCCTTCTTCTCCAGCTTCCCCCGCTGCTACCTTCCTCTTCCAGGCAGCTCCCCAAATCCCTCCCCACCCTGCTGTGCTCAGAACTATCCCCTAGAACAAGTCCTCTACTTGCTTAAGGGTCTCAATTTGTGGCCAGGTGTGGCAGTGACTACTAACTTGGCTATGCAACTCAGGAACCCTGCAATGCCACAGCCGGCCACAGGGGGGCCTATCTGCACAAAGTCCCTAGGCCTAGCCATGGTGATACTTTTGGATATCTGTCTACGTGCACACAGACAGACACACGTATGCAAAGGAGAGAGTGGCTGTCCTTTGAAAATGGTATTCCCTGAGGTGAGAGAGGGTTAAAGGAGGCCAGATTTGTGAGGGAAAGCTGTGGTACCAAGAAGCAGCTGCAGGATACTGCTGACTGCTGGCTCCCCAGGCTCTGACACCACTCAGCCATGTCACCAAGGTGAACTGCTCCGTTTCTCTGAAACTCCTTTCCTCACTGAACATGAGGACTAGTAAGACAACCTCATGGGGTTGGTGTGAGGATTCAAGAGGATAATATATGTAAGTAGCACAGCACACGGACTTAATCAGTGTGACGTAATCAGCATGGATAGCTAGAGGGGTATATGATGGCTGTCCCACTTCTGAAAGCGGTGTTAAGGATAAGGGTTGTGGTATCACACAAAACTGGATTCAAATTCCATCTCCACTCCTCATCAGCTATGGGACCTTGTAAGGAAGTGGAGAGAACCTATCCCTTGGGCTGTTGTGAAGATGACAAGAGATAGCATGTGCTCATCACAGGGTCTTGCACACAGCAGGCTCTCCATAAATCTAGCTACTGAGATCCTGAATTCTCCTGATAGAGGAGAAGTTACAAAAATAAAAATCTCCACACAAAAACTTGTACACAAACATTCATAGCAGTGTTATTCATAATTGCCAAAAGGTGGAAACAACCCAAATGTCCATCAACTGATTTTAAATAAAATGCGATTTCATCATACAATGGGATATTATTCAACGGTGAAAAGCAATGAAGCACTGACACATGCTACAACATGGATGAACCTTAAAAACATTATACTCAGTGAAAGAAGTCAGACACAAAAGACCACATATTGGATGGTTCCATCTAGATGAAATGCTCAGAATAGCGGAATCCACAGAAATAGAAAGACGAGCGTTTGCCAAGGGTGAGGAGAGTTGGGGAACAGTGGGGAGTGTCTGCTAATGAATATGGTATTATTTTGGGGGTCATGAAATACTCCTAAAATTGTGGCAATGGGTGCCTATCTCTGCGAATATACTAGAAACCACTAAATTATATACTTTATTTTATTTTTTTAGATTAGAAAATATAGTCTATTTATAAAGTAAACTAGAGAGAGGGAAAGAAAGAGGAGATTCACCTTCCCAAGGTAGGGGAGGGGGGCCAAAGCTTAAGAAAACATGGCTTAAATTATACACTTTAATGGGCTAATTATATGGTATATGAATTATATATCAATAAAGCCATTATAGTTAAAAAAAAGAAATAACAACCTTATCGTTCAGAGGATGAAGACTTAGAAAAGCAACACGGGAATAAAGCCAAATAGATTTCACCAACACGTGGTCCTTGAATCTCCGTGGCTGGTATGAACAGGGAGACCTAGGCTTCACGATACCTTTTCTATATATTGCTCCCATACCTACTGTGACCCACTTCTGAAACCAAAACCAGGACACAGAACATTACAAAGCATTTTTCTTCATCTGTGGATTTATTTATATGCATAACCTCATTGAACAATAAAAGTTACATTTCATTTACTGGGGTGGGCCAAGCGTGAGGCAACAGAGGTGTGTCCCAAGACCTAGGCAATAAAGTGGGCTTCTCTGTGAACTAATTAGCAGAGTTCATGCACACCTGAGGTGATTAGCCACCTGCAGGAGTGGCCAAAGGACTGTGAATGTGACTGGAGAGCCTGGGAACACTTAAAACTCCCACCAGAATGAGATGATTACTCAGGAGGGCAGAAACCAAAGAGGTCTCACTGTGCTGTAACAGGACGACTACCTTGGGACTAGAAAGGAAGTAGGACAGCCTAGGGAAATGATTCTCAAACATTGTTCCCTGGCGAGCTCCTGGCTACTCCAAGAAGTGGAGGGAAAGGTTGTGGAGGTCTCCAGCCCCACGTCAGCTCCAAGTGGCAAAACTTCACATCCATCAGTTTCGGGGATTGGGTTTTCATATAAGATTTAATGCGGGAAAACATGTTTCACTGTTAAAAATATAATAGAGAAGATTATCCAAGCCTTAGAGCATAGAAAAAAGACATCTAAAATATCAGGACCTGGCAGTGCCATCCACACAAGTCATGGGAAAGAGTCACTGGATCTGTGATACACGAGCTTTCAATTAAGTGACAATGTTGGCGTAAGTTTGTGGACACGATCTCAATTCATCTCTGCAACAACCCTGTGAGACGGGCGTTTTAGCTTCACTTGGAAATGAAACATGGAGGGGAGAGAGGTCACACACTTTGCTCATGCTCACAGGTCTGGAGGGTGGCAGGGGAGGGAGGTGAGCCCAAGTCAGCTAAATTCAGACTTTCTACCCTGACCATAGCTCGTCTTCCTTCTCATGAAAATGTGTCTTCCAAGCCAGGCTCGTTGGCTCAGCCTGTAATCCCGTGCCTTTGGGAGGCTGAGGTGAGTGGATTGCCTGAGCCCGTGGGTTCGAGACCCGCCTGAGCAGGCGAGACCTCATCTCTACAATAAATAAAAAAAAAAAATTAGCCAGGCATGGTAGCATGCGCCTGTAGTTCCAGCTACTTGGAAGGCTGAGGCGGAAGGATCGCCGGAGCCCAGGAGGTCAAGGCCGCGGTGGCCAGGAGCGGCCACTGCACTCCAGTCTGGGCGACAGTGAGACTCCAACTCAAAAAAAAAAGAAAATGTGTCTTCCCAGGGATTTGCAGCTATGAAGGGGGTGCACTAGGGATAACGCATGAGCTTTCTAGGAAGTCTCACCAAGGCAAGTCAACGCTGAGACACTAACAGTAACAGGCTGGACCCTGGACCGCTGGAAACTTCCCCAAGTGCTTTCCCCATCTCCCTCCTCGTCATTCTCCCTATGGTCTTGTGAGGTTTTTAGACTGGAAGACAGTCAGCCTTGCCCTTCTGGTCATGTGAGCTCACTCTTCTCAACTTTTCCATCTATAACCTACTAACTGTTTCATAAATGGCTTGCAATAAAATACATTAATCAATAAAATAATCTCTCAGAAAGTGCCCATGTCCCCTCTGACTCTGGGAACTTAGGAATGTTCTGATCTGATTGTCCATGCTACACAGTCACCCTGGACCCGCCTCTGCCTTACCAGTTCACAGAGGGCACAATTACACCCGTGACTTGGGACACAGCACACACAAAAGGGACTGCTCACACAGTCAGATTGTTAGTTCCATCTATTCCCATCTTTTTTGGGAAGAGGTGCAAAGTACACATTCAAGATATGTGGGCTTCATGGGTTGTCCCCCAAATTCATATGTTGATGCTCTAACTCCCAGTGTGACCACATCCGGAAACAGGAGGAAATTAAGGTTAAATGAAGTGATTATCCTGGGGCCCTGACCTGATAGTATTAGTGTCCTTATAAGAAGAAACACCATAGAGCTCACTGTCTTTTTTCTCTCCACTATGTGAGAACACAACGAGAAGGTGGCCATCTGCAAGCCAGGAAAAGAGTCCTTACCCAAAACCAAATCATCTGGCACCACGATCCTGTCTAGAACTGTGAGAAATAAAGTTCTGCTGTTTAAGCCACCCAGTCTGTGGTATTTTGTTATGGCAGCCTGAGCTAAGATGATGTGTAGGACAATAGCCATCAAGTGACACCACACAGTCAGCTCACAGAGCATCACTGCACACACTTAGAGGCAGAGATAATGGACGGGTAGGATATAGGAAATGAGGGATTCTTACATTAAGGGGAATATGAGGTCCCCTCCACACTCTATTCCTAGCCCCACCCCACCCCCCAC